TGTATTTATATGTAAAATAAAAGTTTGTTAAAATGACCCTTATTATGTAATTCGTTTGCCCCCAAAGTCCCAAACATATATAGTTAACCGTTAAAAACATTTAAAAACATATTCTGATCAGCTTTATATATTAGTGACAAAAATACAAAAGAAAAAAGTTGTGACAAAATTTATGAAAAGAGTCAAAAAATTATTTATTTTTAGAATTTATTAACTTTTATAAAAGTTAATGTTTTTGCTCTGCAAATGTGAGAATAGAAATACTCACAAAATTCACACCAAAAATATTCAATTTAACCAAAAAAATGAGTAAAATATTATTTTTTCTTTACGTTTTAATAGCATTTATCATCAATTATTAGGGGTAATGATTGTCACATCAAATCTAATGTCAGATCAATTACGATAAGAATTAATTAATTTGAAAGTTTGAGCAAAAATTCTTATAAGAGTTTTTAATAAAAATCAATATTAATTACTCTGTGGTTCTCATATCAATGATATTTCATGTTTTCTATATTTTAATGATATTTTCATTTAAGGTCACAGAATATTCTTGGTTTGCAAAGTGTTTTCAAAAGTACTTTAATTAAATATAAAATCTTATATATAAAATCATTTATTTTAATAACAAATATATTTTTTAACACTTTATTTTGATAAGAAATTATTAATATTATTATTTTAAATGCTAAATAAATTTCCCAATTTTAATGAATTGTTAAAAGACTATTTTAATTATTTGAAGCAATTTATATAATAAATGACATTATTTAGTAGCAATCGTTTCAACAAATAAATTGATAAAAATTGGCAAAATCTAATAAAAATATTATGATTTAAGTTTAAGTAAAATGAAAAATTCAAATATTTAAATATATGTATAAAATTCATATTTTTATGCATAAAAATACACACATTTTTACACATACATAAAACACGATAAGTGCGGGCAAAGGCAACAATATGATGAACAATACTGGTTAGTTAGGAGAGAGAGAGAGAGAGAGAGAGAGAGAGAGAGAGAGAGAGTCACACATCACACCTCACTGACACTGTTTAACACACGCACATCACTTGATTAGATTCGGGTATATATGGCTGTGATTTATATGATTGTATGTATGTTGTGTTCAATACAATTCTGTTGTGTTTTTCTGTATTCATGCATAATGTGTGGACGAGAGGTAAAAACATGAGCACAGAAAAAATACAATTGAGTTGTGAAGTGATTTTAGCATAAATTGCATACATTTATTGCTAACTGTAGGATATGTTTGTATTTATACGATATACACAACTATTATGTTATGAATAGATAGCTAAAGAATATCAATAGAGAGTAACGATGCGGTGATTCCACACATTCTTTGCCAAACATCTCATTCTCGCGGGTATTATAAGGCAAATAGAGAGCACATGTATTACCAGAATATATACGGCATATATGCTATACACACCTATGCTATCATGAGATACAAAATGATGGATAAATACAGTGTTGCCTATTCTTCTTCCCAATGGTCTGCGAGACTATGAATAAAAACAATTAAGCGCTTAATTAAATTTCTATTAACACACATATATCTACACAATAAACGATAGCATTGTTATCGCAATAATATTTATCTTATTGTCTATTATCTCTCTCACAGATAGTTTATGTCTACGAATCGTTGGTTTTGAAGTTCCGTCTGCCGTAGCGAAGGGACAGTCGATTGGACTCCACTGTAACTTCGATCTGGAAGGGGATGAGCTCTACTCTGTTAAGTATTATAAGGATTACGTCGAGTTTTATCGATATTTGCCGACGGATGAGCCCCGACCCGCACAAAAGTTTAAGCTTAAGGGAGCTTATGTTGACGTGAGTCTCGATTCCCTCACCGTTTACTATATTATTATTATTACACATATTATTTTGGGCTCAAATGGTTTTACACTTTTTTTTTGCCTAAAATAAGAAAAATGTTTATTTTTAGCCCAATTCTAAGCCCATTACAAGCCATACCTTTAAAAAAACTCGGCGAAGAGAGAGAGAGAGAGAGAATTCCGTCCTATTTTTAAACAGATAAAAATACATTTTCTGTTGTGAGACACTATTATTAATCAAATTTTCAAATGCAATAAATCTGTTTTATCTACAAAACACACAAATGTCTTTCCCAATAACTTATTGAACAGAATATACTGTGTTTTATATTGTATTTTGAATATTAGTTCTACACATGTATACACATTATATAAGGAATAAATTACGGAAAAATTAATAATAATTAGATTTAATGGAAGAAAACTCCAAACAAGAAGTAGTGAGTGATTGAGACAATGGTCTTATAGTAGAGGAGAGGTATTGGGAGAGAAAATATCGTAATGACTGGTGATCTGAAGAGAGAGCTCAGAGTTGGGTGGAGTCGTCGAGCAATGAGAGGGAATGGGATGAGAAAAAAATATAGTGAGACTAAAAGTCAGATTAGCCTTATATATGAACGTACGATAAAATGTTGTGCAAAGGGACTCATCGCACGATATTTCACGTCAACACTCAATCCTTTGTACGTTTAGTCGTCTCCACTCTAGTCTTTAGGGAGGAATTCTTTCTCGTCTTCAGCTATTTTTCTCTCTCTCTATGTGTCTCTAAATTGGGTTTTCTTTCAGAAATATGAATCAAATATATTTCCAGCCATTCATTCGACTCTCTATTTGCTTTTAAAACCCATAGAAAAAGCCGTATTTACACTGATTTTCTAGATTCAAAACCATTGATTGCCAGTGATGTGTGTAAAAGCAAATTGTGTATAGAAATTACCTTTTTGTGTGTTTTGATTTAATTTAGCTACAAGTTCTCACATCTCAATTCCCGTTAAAAATGTAATAAACAATATTTGTTTTCCAAAATCTATTGTCCGAAAAAATCCCATTAAAACTATTATTATATTATTATTGTTAAAAAAAACGCTGGAAACAAATCCATAACTAATTTAATAGCTTTTCTTACCATAAAAACAAAGTTCAAAAGTCAATACTTAATGAGAATTACAAACCAATTAAACACGAAATTCTTCAGTACTTTACGACAAGCCATAGCATAGGTTTGACTCGTATTTAGATTGTAATCATTGATTAAATTTTTACATTAAATTATTCTTAGATATGAGAAGACACTGTCATATCATATCATAACATAATATGAAGTAACAATTGATAGCACTATATATTTAAGCAAATGTATTATCTTATAAACTGACAGATCACTCGTTCAAACGCAACCCATGCATACCTTTCATACACAGATTTGGTGAGTATTTATCGCTTTTAAAAGTCTATTTTTAAATATAAAAAAAGGAAAAGTATTTGTTTAATAATAACTTTTAATAATATTTTCAATATTTAAT